CGCCAATGTAAATCGCCAAAAATCGGCACCGTTACCAAAGTACCATGTTTTAATTTTCATGCTGTTTATTTACGAAACGTATTCCAAATCTCCAAACATATATTCACAAAAACTCTTCATTTAATTAATATAATTAAAAAAACACACTACTTAAAATAAATAAACACACATTAAAATAATAAAAACTTAAATCTAATTCTTAAACTATTATGCTATACAATTTCCAATAATCCATATTATTTATTTATTCCTATATTAGAAAAGCAAAAATAATATCCTCAAGGATTAAAATACTAATAAGTTCAATGGCTGCGTACTACTGCTATTCTAAATCTGAATCAAACTTCTGAATATCCTCCTTCACCAATCATTCATCCCACTGTTGAACACCATATTATCGCATTAATCTACCTCGTTAACCATAAAGCAATTCTTTGGATTAATATAACGCAATAAAAATTTCGAATTCACTTTAGATAGGCCATGGCTCAAAATTAATACCTGTTCACACACACAATGAAGCTAAAACAAATGATAACGTCTGCGATATTTTTCCAATTCCCCCCCTTTCCGATAAAGAACTGTGTTGTCCATAGCTGCAAGATCTCTCATTCTCTCCAAACTGGTAATTAACGGTACTTCTCCGTATTGCCGAATAGGTAGTAACCTTTATCGCCTACCAAAATTTCGCCAAACTGGCTGTTACCATATTCCAAAGATTAGCCAATCTACTTTTTGCATATGGATAGAAATTTCTCTCAAATTTCATCTTGTCAACACAATCAACAATTCACAGCGGAATTAGCTGAAGTCTGTAATCACTGGCAAGTATAATGTGAACATAAAAGGTTACCATGCTGTCTGGCATTCAATTACTAATATTTAAAAAAAAAAATTGCTTAGGCATCACTGCAAGAATCAATTCTCAAGCTGTCATAAATAATGATTCGCTAGGTTTTTAGGTCTCGAATATAAGTTATTTAGTAACTGTAAAGTCGACGATATTTCGATTTGAGATACAAGCTAAACAAAAAGTCTATGGAGTTAAATGGCTATAGAGGCTATGAATACGTTTCTTCAGTACCCAGGTACATATTTTATTAAGAAATATCAAATGCACAAACGTAAAGTATACAAAAAACTTTCCCAAAAGAATAAGATTGATGGTGATCCAGTGGTCTGGACTTTGGATATATTGTTAATCAACTTATTGTACGGGCAAAAAAATTAAAATCTAAGGCACTTAGCTAAATCAGCTGTTGACAATCAAATCCATGAAAAATAGCAATGTTTAATAAATATTGTCAGACTTTAGAAATAAGAGATTAATTACATAATGGTTAAAAAAATACTTAATTTCATTTTTTAATCTCTTCTGTTCATATATTAAAAAAAGTAATAAAGAACTGCATGTGCTAAAACTATGCCTTAAATATTAACCATAAGTCATACAAGAGAACAAACTATTAGGGAAATTTAATTAAAGTGTTCACTGCATAAATCTCCGGCGATATTTGAAATTTGCACATTTCAGATATTAGAATCAAGTTTCCCAGTTTTCGTGATTAAGCATGGTAGCTACTTTAATGAGGAAGAATATGTACAAAGTTCTCACAGAATTTTAAATAATAATAATTTTAGATGTACTCAATATTTCTATAATTTTAATCCAATTCCATATAATTACCATTTTCCATGATATATTGTCCCAATTAGTTTAATAAATTGTTAAATATAAACCTTAGTTATTAAGGAGATCTTGACTTGAAGTCTGATCTAAAGAATATAACTCTGATGAGCAGACAAAAGATTTAACATGGTTCCATAAAAAAAAGAACTCGTTGTTTAAAAAAAAAAAAAAAAAAAAAAAAAAAAAAAAAAAGCTCCAATTTTTACCAATTCATTTTTCTAAAAAGATATAATTCTTGTACTGTTCCATACTTAATTCACACTATTCTTAATTATAAATAGAACTTTCCCAAATTCAACAAAATATAAGATGACCTCTTTAAGACAACTGTTTTTTCCAAACTTCTGAATGATTTAATTTTGAAGATATTTTTTTTCGTGATTTAATTTTGAAGATGTTTTTTTCCACTTGAACAAATACTACTTTATTATTTATGGTTTTAGCATATAAACTTAAACATAATTTAAGTACTTATAGTAATTCTGAAAAACAGCATCCTCTTGAAACAAAATATGTAAATTGCAATACTTTAATAATAGTATTTACATGTACACATACACAACATATTACTTAAAGAATTTTTAAGGTAGTAATCATATATGAGGAATTACTCCATGTACTATACAATTTAAAAACATCAGCAATTCTAGCACTTTTTGTAAATATGAGAATTAAACCCTAGAATGTTTGGATTAAAAATTTGAGAAACAAATTTCGGAACAGCTTTAGTATTGGTCCTTTTGGCGATATTTTATTTGGTGACAAACTTCAGTCGCCAAGGTAGACCCAGTTTTTAAGATCGAAAAAAAATGGCGGATTGTCAACAAAACCCGATCTAGACTAATAACAATCCTAAAATAGCTCTTAATCAGAAAAAGTCTTTCTCTATTTCAATATTTTAGTACGCTATGATATTCTTGAAACACTACTGTAAATGAATTTATACAATTATTATGTTGAGTATGAAATTTACAAATGTTAATATTTTTTATTGTATTAAATTAATAATGTATGTATCATTATATTTAGTTAATATTTACAAAGGTAATTTTTATGTTTATGAAAAGAAATTTACAAAGGTAATAAAGCATTTAACTAGTATGTTACTTATTCTCTAGATGTTACGGTTTTAAAAACTAGTATATGTTAAATAAAAAGAAAATATATTTCAAGTGAAGGAAATCAAATTCATATAATGGGCAAGTTTTGTACAGTGTTAGAAAATTTTTTATGATTAAATATTGTAAGGGTAAAATTTAAGAAGTGTGTATTTTTTAATCCCTCAATTATTACAAGTAATTTATGATATAATTTAAAAGCTAAAATTAATTATCATAAGAGTAATTTTGTACCAATGGTAATAATACACAATCATCGTAAATGATGATTTCTTGAAATCGACAGTCATTGGATTCACTAGGGTGGAGTAGCCACTGAAGTGGTAGTCAGGCTGGCTATGTGGGGTTTTAGTATTCCCGTAGATGTAATGGATCTGAGCCTTTCTCTTAAAAAAGTACTTTATGTAGGCATCCTTCTCTGCTAGCCAGCATATGTATTTATTTTCTATTCATAATTCTTCTTATTTCTTAATTTAAATCTTACTCTGAAGAGAAGAAGTGGTTGCATCTATAGGTCAAAAAATATGGTCAATAGTTTGCAATCCTTCAGTTTGGAAAGCATTTAATAAAATAAATAATTTGTATTATGCAAACAAAATGCATTCACTATTTCATGTCGAATAATTAATAGGGAAACATAGTTATGTAACGTTCCTTTATTTTGTAACCAATTTATTTATGCTTGGGATCTTTACTGTCGATTTCCTCCATCCGTTTTCTCACCAGAATCCAATGAGTTTTTATTTGTAAAACAAAACGTTTTTGCCTTTTGAGGCCCATTAATAGGTTGCTAGAAAGAAAGATTTGTAGTCTTCACCTTGCTTCTAATTGTGTAGCTGATTCCATGCCATTAAGTTTTTAACCAACTTTGCATACATTGATTGTGAGCCTTTGGGCTACAATTTATTGGAATTTAAATTTTACATTTGAACTTAACTTGTTCATAAGTTATTTGCCACAAGTGGTGACTGAGTCGTACACAAAGTGTGCCTTTGTTCTGTACACTTTTAATAAAGAAAGTATTCTTAACTTAATAAGAATATATCTAAACTTATGATAATAATTAAAGACATTGAAATCAGTATCTAAGTGCGCTTGCCATGTAGTCAAATTTTATATATAAATTGTACTCTTATTATTTTTTTACAAAAATTTCAGATTCTGTAGATAAAATGTTTAAGTAGTAGAATTTTCTAATTTAAAATAAAAAGTCGACTGCTATTCAACAACATAATAAAAGTAAATACTCAGTGAAGGTTTCAACATGTTAGTGTAGATTTACAAATTGAGAACTCTAATTATAGCAATGAAATTATGTTTATAAACAGCAATAAACCTATTTTGGTCTGATTTGAACCTAGAATTCCTGCAATACACATCCCTATAGTCTAATGAGGTAAATAAGTATTTTTAGACCATGGTAATTTTGATCTCCTTACAAGGAAACACCAGAGCCTCACTGAAAATGTGTTTTTTTTTTTTTTCCTTGGGGGTGGGTTATAATAATATCAATTGACATTGAAAAAATGTCAGACTCATGTGATGTATTTAAAACCAGTTTTAACTATCAAAAATTTGGCTTTTTAAAATATTTTAAATTTTTGCTTCCTAACAAAAGTAACTTTAAGAAAAACACAATTATCCCTCCTGCCATCAAAGCTTCAAATTCGTTAAAGTCTGGACAAATGCGCAGTTGAAGCCAGTATTTAGGGTTACCAAGGTTATCATAATTTTTCATTTATCGCTCCAAAATGTCGCCAAACAAATTTCTCGTCAAAAAGGACTAATACTAAAGCTGTGCCCAAATTTCATCTCATAGTCAAATAAATGTGGCATAAATAGATTACAGTAAACCTGCATCATCACCTCTCCTATCTTTAACAGTAATAGCTTGTAACTTAACGTTCCGATTTCTATAGAATTTCAATTAGATTTACAGCACTTTATGGATTACTACGCAGAAAATAAATTTCTCCTTATAAATTATATTTTCGCTATAAAGTATTTTAAAATATGTGGGCATGTGTAAGAAAGAAGAATTTCTTAAGTTTTTTTTTTTCTTTTCCTGAAAGAAACATTATTCAAAATTATCTTTCCTAAATTTGAATCATGTTTTATGTGCATAAAAGATAAGTTTTTCACATCGAGAATAGAAAACTGGAGTTAAATTCATTACCGGTCAGTATACAAACCTAGAAGGATTTTCCATACGTATTCTCGATATATTGAAGGTAGGGTAAACCTCAAACAAAATTTTGATAGTTTAGCTTTATCCATAGGTTTTTCGTTTATTAAAATTTCTAACGATTTTTTCTCTTCTACACCACGGAATCCAACTTTGTCATAATATGCGGAACGAAAGTTTCGACTTTTATCTGTCATTTTTAGGCTCGAAATATTACATAAAACAGTTACTACACGATTAAATTTTCGCAAAATCCAGTTCAAACATAGTAATCAATAGCAGTCGTAAATAGTATTGCCAAAAGATTAAAACTCAGCATCTAAAATAAGTCGTCGATTATTTCCAGTTCTCTTTCACTCTCTTTAACATCTAATTAAGCCGCAAATTTATAAATCAAGTTAGTCAGTTCTAGAAAGAAACTAAAAGCATGATGCCGCAGATCTCTCAGAAACAAGAGATTGAGACTCTTGGTCCTACAGTCCCAGACACAAGCGTCTAGAACCCAAACCTCACTTTTGCTCATCGCCCGGGTTTCGGAATAACGGAGGGTAATTAACGGAATTCCTTAACGGAAGGAAGAAGGGATTTCATCCAAGCGCTCGCAAATGCTCATGTTGAACTACATCCAAGCTCATGTTGAATTACATCCAACAAGACATATCATCACGATAGTTCTTCCCTTTCTGCGCATGCGCTAGCCACACAATTTCTCCAAGACCTCGTAAATCGCCAACTTTAGTCGCGAGTTGCGTTTCCTAGGGAGGAAGTAAAAATAGGCATCCCGCTGAGAGTTAAAAAAGTACGTGATAACAAAAGTCATCAGGAAAGGCGAAGTGCTTCTATCATGCACTCCGTGCTTCAAAGTCTGTGTCTTCAGAGACTAACATCGGAGTTATTGCTAAACAGGAAGAGGTAACGAAACTAAAGGACATGCAAGAGAGTAATGTTATCAAGCCTTCAGTAAGAACTTGCCATCGTCAGATCGTCCTCGTCAGAAAGAAGGATGGCTCAATATCCAGTTCGACAAATTTCATCGTCACCAAGAAAAGCAACTACTCTTTTCCTAGAGCTGACGACATTCTAGATTCTAGATACTAGATACTGGAAGTAAGTGGTTTTTGACGTTTGACTTAAAGCGTGGATAGAGATATATACTGATGACCAAGAAAAGATGGCATTTATTGGAAGACAAGGCCTTAGATAGTTCAAGATGATGCTGTTTGGATGCTGCAGTGCTCCAGCAGCATTCGGCCTCATGGAAACCGGTCTGAGAGGTCTTTTCTAAGAAGCCTGTGTAATAAACTTGGATGACAGCATAATCGGAGGAAAAAGTTTTGAAGAACATTTAGAAAATATTAAGATGCTTCAGAAATTGATCTTAATGCTTAAATGCTTCCTGGGGCTTTCGACTTTTCAAGTACTTTCTTCCATCGCAAGACCACTTCACAAACTAGCAGAGAGCAAATAAAAGCTGTTGGGGACAAAAGAATGTAAGGATGCATTTTACAAATTAAAGGGAGCTTAAACAATTGCAACAATGCTGACGTGTATTTATTTTAGTGAAAGCAGTAGGAATGTCGGTGCTGTTTTGTCCCAAAATATAAACGGTCAAGAACATGTCGTAACATACTAAAGCAAGTGTCTAAACCAGAAAGGAATTACTTTATCACCAGGAAAGAATTGCTCTCCATAGTTGAAGCTTCCCTTATTACGTCTACGGCAGAAAATTTTCCTGCTCCGCCCAGATCATGCATCATTAACCTGGCTCTTAAATTTCAAGAATCCTGA